TCAGCGATGATAACCAGGTAAAGTATGAGCCACTCAGTATTTAGAGCACTGTGCACAGAGCTGATCTTTTAACTAGTGTTCAAAACATGTTTCTAAATGGTATTATTTTTTTCTGGGAGAAGTTTTTACCAATACCACAAAAAAAATTGAAAATGTACATGCTATTAAAATCCGAATAATATCGCCATATCCCACATATCTTAATCTGAAAATGTTTCATTTATTGATATGGTGTTGGTGAAATCTTGTTATGACTTTTTAATGGGTTATTGACCTGTTCAACTTTGCTGATCACTGTCCGCTCGGTTCCACAGGACAGCAAAACTAAAACCTGGCCTCCTAAAGCGCCATGGCAGCACTCCACCCACACAAACACCATGCCCAATCCCAGCTCTTCCTTGTACCAGATGAACATCCCTCCTTCCTCCCAGTGGAGCGACTCCATGCAGATGCTGCAGTCTCCTGTGTGGTCCACTGCCAGCGACTGCTCCCCCTCCACTGGAATCTCCTCTGGTTTTCCCTTCACCCAGCAGCAGCAGCAACAGCAGCAGCAGCAACAGCAGCAGCAGCAGCAGCAGCAACAACAACACAAACCCATGACCAAGGGCTTTAAATCCTTCCCCCTCAAACACGAGCACAGGCCCTCCTACCTTCACCAGTACTGATCACAGTCTAATGTGGAGCGAGTCCGCGGTGAAGTGCCACCGAGGGCCTGTAGCTCTGTTAGATGAGCCACTGAGTGGGCCGAGCTGCAGCCATTACAGTCCACACCCACTGAATTGGAAGATTTCAAAGCCTCAGAGGCAAAATTAAGTATACACACTGGCTCAACATGTTTTGTATCTATATTTTTCCATGACAAACATCCCCATTTGAAAAGGAGACGTATTTTGAAGTTTTTCGAACTGCCATGTTTTAACTACGACAGGTGCATGTGTCATGCTGGCAGCAGTTAGTCTAGTGGTTGTTTCTCTGTCTGTCGAGCTGACGTCTCCTCAGACAAGAGCTGGAGACGTGCACGGCCGTCACCCACTTGCTTCTGCAGCTGAACGTGTGTGTGTAAATGAGGGGATTACACGGGGGCAGGGGCTGGAAATGCTCTCATTTTGCCCATATTAAATATACTGTGTCTACATAGCTGTAACTGCCAAATCTCACGCAAGATGACTCAGAATACAGCTACCATCTACTGTTTCATAGCTTGTAAAATACTGAAGTTGAAATATAAATATTTAGTTCTTTTTATTAAGAGGCTTTGAGCAGGCTCAGCATAAATATAGTAAGTCACTGCAGAGGTGTAATTTGAGAGAAATACACTACTTTTTCAACAACTGACCAGAGTTAAGAATTATAGCAGTAACTATGTGCCATGTTGGTATTGATAGCACTTGCAGAATATTATTCCCAACCAAAGCGTTGTTCAGAAGATGAATGGTGCTGAAGAGATAAGAGGCGGTCTGAGATTACTGAAAAACAGTGAAGTTACACACCCTATTGGATGAAAGCGTTCGGGAACATCTCCACACCCAGAAGCGCATTCATTTCCTCCTCTCTAATTGGCAGTTGTTTGCCCCAGATTGACACTAACTCCCATACACCTAACTTTTCTTCTGTTTAATAATACAATATTTTTCTTGTACAATTATTGACAGTATTAATCTTATTTTTGTATTTTCTTACATGTTATACCATTACTGTATGTTAGTATTCTTGTAGGCATATTACATAAAAACATTATTTTCCACCTCCCAATATGTGAAAAAGCACATTTTTTCCTACAGAGTTGAACTACACCATCTATCTATAAAGGTTACCAAATATGCCATGCTAAACACTAAAACATTGTGTGATGAGGGTGTTTTCGAGCCCTTGTTTCTTCGGTTTCTATGGCAATGGGCTGTATTTAAAAGCCCAGAATGTTATCTTTTTGTGATGTTTGCGGATGCCAATGTTGCCTGTATTTATGAAATGACACCATGTTTTCAGAAAACTAACATACTTAACATGTTTACAGAGAATTGTTTGCTGTATATACATATAAATATATATCTTTTTATAGTTAATGTGCTTTGCACAATCAAGATATAGGGTTTGTTGCTTTTTGTCTGTGTTATCTCCCTAACTGTTGCAGCCTTTTTTAAAGACATCATTACAGACCTTGGACTGTAACTGTAAGCTTCTCAGCTGTGTCAAATGGTTTACTAGTGGCTTCTACAAAATGGAAAAAAAAAACAAAAAAATTATAATAAAAACATGTTGCCCTGATAGAAGATATGAAGGGGGACTGCTTGGCTTATGTTGCTTATTGTTCTCTTGAGCTGGCAACTGAATCTTTCCAAGTGTACCAGCAATGCAAAAAATGAATAAAAAAAGACTAGCAATTCGAAACCTTGTCGTTGTAGTTTTGTACTGACAAGTCACTCAGTTTTCTGTCCTCAACTCCTGCTGGAAACACTTAATATGTTTGAGCACTCTGTGCACTGATAAAATGTCTCTGAACTGAGTGATTTCAAAAACTGACACAGACAACAGCTTTAATAAATACAAATGTTTAATGTACAACTCTGAATTTTAAAAAAATACATTGTGAATTCACAGTATTGTTCCACATGTACATTCAATATAGCATCAATGATCTAAAACACCGGTGATCCTAGAGTGAGTTACACTGCTGAAACAAATAATTGTTACATTTTCCTGGTAAGTAAAATCATTTTTAACAGCACTGATATCAAATAGTTGACACCCCATTGTCACGTCCTTTCATGTCCATTCACAGCTGGTGTTGAGGCTGATGTTTCATCTGATGTAGACTGGAAACAAACAATAACAGTATTACACACAGCATCATTACAGCAGTATTTATTAGTGAATCGTGCGATGTGTACTTACATTTGAAGAAGAAGGCATGTTGTCTGGGCTGGCATCAGCTATGGTTGCCAAGTAGACGATGTTGCGGTGCAGGATCTGTTGGTATCTGTTGAAGAAAAAAACAGCAGCTGAAGAACCCACTAGAAATGAGACGCGCACCTGTGTACACATAACTCAGCAGTGTGCAGAGACACATGCTGCACTACTGAGCTAACCGCTAACGCTACATAATCATTAAGCATAAACCTAAACGGCTAATTGGCAACAGGTCACTGAGAATAGTTTTGACTTACTGTACACACTCCACTGCTCGTCCCTTCTGCATGTATTCAGTGATGCATCTAATCAATTGGTCGTTTTCATCCAGCAACTACGAGAGATAAAACAGAAGATAAACCAACTGTAAAACACGCGATAACGCTAGCTAATGTGTTGGTTTTAGCAGGCATTAGCCATCATTAGAAACAGCTTGCACGCAGTCTGTTTGGGTGTAACCAGAGTTAATATATTGATAATGTAGTGAAGTTACTAGCTAGCGGCTACATGCTAAAGCTAACGCCGTAGGGTGTTGTACCGGGAAAAGGCTAACAGCTAGTTAGCTGCTTCAATAAATGTTTGTCTCTTGTGTCTCACCCTCTGTATTGTTTCTTGGTTAATTTTCGCCTTTCCTCGTAGTTTCTTAGGCACGAAGACTATAGACATCGTCGTGTAGTCACAGTTTGTTAGTAATTGGTTTTTTTGCGACGAAACGTTTCTTCTTCTACGGTCCTTCCGTCGTCTTCTTCTTCTTCTTCTTCGACTCTATTGATTGACGGTCGTGTCATTTTGTTGTACGAACGCCACCTTGTGGAGCGCTGCAGTCTAGCAACCCTGAACAAAAAAGTAAAGTTATGTTTCCCCAAAGACAAATAAAAGTTAACCTAATTGTACTATTTATCCATCTGATGATGATGAACTGCTGAGATTGAGATTTAATGTTGATCATGAGAACTGCAACTGTTGTGACACTGAAACTGAAACCATTTTGATCCGTTTTTCACTGTATACTCTTAGACACTATGGGAGGATGTGCAGGACTGAGTGTCAAACAAGATCCTACTACTTGCTCCTCTCACAAGATAAAATATTGTGTTTGATATCAATATGAAGGACAGTGAGAGTGACCTGATATTAAACATTCTGATACTTCTCAGTGCTTTAAGACTAATAAAATGACAATAAGAAAAGTCTCTGCAGAGCTTATGAGGAGCATAAATTATTTGAGGATCTCTCGAGTATCTATGGAAGAGTGCATACTACAATTGATTTTAGTTTACTTTTTATTTTTATTTATGTTATCATATTTAATATCATTTAAGTTATCTTTCCATCCTTATGCGCTGTGTATATTATGTGCTTTTTTGTGGTTATGGATTCTGCCTTGTTTGTAAATTAATTTTGTTCAATAAAAGAAAAAATAATGATTCTGTTATGAGATGTGATGGACAACATTTTTTAACAAATAAAATAAAACCTAAAAATGTTTTTAACTTTTCATTATTAAAATCTGTTAAAATCTTTAGAGTTCACCAACTCAGGTGGTGTCTATACAAATTTCACCGTCCTATTGTTGTGTTTTATTACCATATAAAGTCTCAAATTACAAGAGGAAAAAAAAGATGTTCTAAGGTTTCAATGTTTGAGTCATAGGAAGATGTCTCACTACTCTGCCATCCACAATCACACTCACCATCGCCCCCTCCTGGACATCAGGACAGGATAGAAAGGAGGCGGGCAAGCTTCTATCTATGCAGAAAACACAAGTTGCAAAAATATACCCTTTGCAACATTTACTGCATCTGAATATCTTGCAATTAAAAAATGAGCAAGACACACTTTCTGCTGCTGAACATTTATCGACCACCTTCTCATAACACAAACTTCATCCTTTAATTCTCTGAACTATTTTCAAATTGTACTGCATACTTGAATCTTGACAAAAACACCAAATCAGGGGAAGTTATGAAAATATTGCGTTCCTTTGATTTAGCACGCATGGTATTATTTGAAGGACAGACACACATTGTAGATGTAGCATCATTGTGAAAATTCAGGACTGTGGATTAAAAATAAAACATCAGACACACGGATATTGTACAACTCTTTATTTTAAGTAAAAACTCAATTTTGCTGATATTCTCATGAAAACAATTCCTGGTTTACAATTCCAGTGACTGGAAGGAGTAACAAACATATGAAAACATGTCAGTTTGTAATAGTTCAGTAATACTTTTTGTCTCAAATTCAAGCCTGCTGGTTATTGCGAAAGCCCATATGAAGTGATGGTTCCTACGGCTATCATGCAGTGATCAGCAACCTGTGCAAGAGTGTCCAGTCAAACAGCACGTTTTCAACTGGGCTGCTTTGTTTTACACAACCGCAGCTACTGAGAAGGATCTAGTCTCACCCTGTAGTGCTATTAATACTTGTGTCGACCTTTACGTTAAAGGGAGAGCTGTAAGAATTCACCACTCTGAAGGCACTCCCTAAAGTACTAACAAATCAGAGCCAGAAAGAAAAAAAAAAAAATCTCCCCTCCCCCTCCTCCCCCCATCACAATGGCACCACATCCAGGTCACGTCCCTTTGTTCACAAGTCGGTAAATTAAAAAAAAAAAAAAATTCACTCCGGAGAATGATCCCATCGACAACAATGAAACAAGAGGAGCTACAAACTTGTCAGAGGGCTGATACCTACCAGAAACCTTGAACATACATTTTGTGACATCATCCAATCATTGACGACATTTCCCATTTTCAGTAAACAATCCGTACAAAACTGCAGCACAGTTTTGCAGTGGAAACAGCCGACAGTAAAAAACTATGACACAACTGTAAGACGATTCAAAGGACGCTGATTACAAACAGAACATGCGTTAGCAGATGGCTCAGTGTGTGTTGGACATATAAGGTAGATTAGATTAGATAGAACAGGTACTAAACTGAGAAAACATGTACTTTTAGACCGACAATGACCTCATCCCAACCAAGTGCTCACATATTCTTTTTGGCAAAATAGCGGAGCATTTTTTTTTTGTTGAAAAACCCAAATCCAACTTGTTCAAGGTCATTGTGACTACAGAACTGAAAACACTCAAGGCTTTCCTTTCCTAAGAATGTCTAAAGGCAATAATACTAATGGATGTTCCTCTTTCACAGACAAATCACGGGAATGCTCTTTGTTTAGTCAACGATATAAAAACAGACCCGCTCAACAAAACAAATCTAAAGTCGACAAATGCTCTAAAGCTAATGCTGTGAACCCTGTATATCAGTCCAATGGCTGGTTCCTATCTCATTGCCTGCATTAGGCTGCCTGGACAGCTCCAGCCACAAACATAAAGCAGAAACATAACTCATCTGGCGTGGGAGGTTAGGGGAACAAAGTATGATCTACGCAATTCTAAATACTGAACGCACATTGCTAAAAACTACAAATGAGTCTGACTGATGAGCCACATTTTGCAGGGGCACACTAAGTTGAAGATGAGCTAGATATACATTCATAAAAATATTCAGTTCAGATTTTATTTCTTTCAGCTGGCTTCAACTCACTACTTCATTGAGAATGAATGCATGTCCCAAAGAAACAAAAAACAAATCCTGCAAACTGGGTAAAAATACTGAAATACTGAACACATGGCAACCAAACTAAGTGTGAGCAGAGAAAAAACACGGTGTAACGGGCACTGAAGTGGATTTTGGTGCCGACATACATCAAAAGATCAAACACTGAATGAAAATAAAAAATAAAGCTATTGATCACATGAACCGTGATCCACTCACAGTATCAGTGGGCTTTCTGCATACAGCTTTCAATATCAAAGACAACTTCGGTAAGAAATGAACTCGGTTGATGCAAAAATACAGACTTACTCCAAAGCAAGGTATTTACACACGCTCTTGTCCGTCTGGTGACTGTTTGTCAAACTAAATGTCAGGGCCAAAAAACAAAAAGCCTAATTCCCGAAGTGGAGAAAAGGAAGCTGCACTCTCACGCCCCTGATGTAAAGCAGTCAGCCGTGGTGCTGGTGACTGAGAGGATGTCTTCATTCTTTCTGTCAAAATACTGAGACCAAATCATTTCTTCAACAGGAACCCTTTCATAACGAGGGGCGACGACTCTTCAAGGATCTGTCGCAGCAGTACTATGCAGCCACCTTGTTGTCCTTCTGGGGTGAAAAAAAAACAAACAAACAAAAAAACCCACAAAACTTTAGAACAACCATAGATGTTCTCTTTTTTCAACATTCTGAACTTTAACAATACTTCTGTGATATCTGCGGTCACAAAGCTAATGGATTTACCCTGTATTCAAAATCAGAGAAATCCCGGCCTCCTCTGCCACCTCTGAATCCGCCTCTGAAACCAGGCGGAGGACCCCGGGGTGGCCCGAAGGAACCTCTGCTCAGCGGTCGACCTCGGCCTCCGCGGGGTCCCATGAAGCCTCGGCCGCGGAAACCTCCTCTTCCTCGATTGTGTCTCAGAGGGATGCCAAATGTCTCAGAATTCATTCTTCTCTCTTCTGCCCAGGTCGGCCTTCGATCCCTGACACAAACACAAAGCCGCATCAGCACCCATCTTGTTGGCTAACAAACATACCTCAACAAAAATGTGACATTAAGGGAGGCACCACAGGAAACTACGGTAATTTTCGCGCTCAATTTGAGCATATCATGCAGACTGTATCTCAATATTTAGGATAGAAGAATTACAATCAGAAAGCACAAATTGGGTATCACTATGAAAAACCTGGTTCAGTTCTCTCTGCAGTAAAAAGTGTGTCTAATGTTGCAGCTTTATCAACACAGAACTTTTGTTTAACATTCAGTGACATTTTGTTGGTCACTCAACTGACAGCTAACGATGCTCAGTGGCTCTGCGTATGTAGTGTTACGAGTACATAGTGTAGTTTTATAGTTTACACAAACCCCAATCTGTACAGTCGTGTAATCATGTAAAGTCAAAATCCAAAAAGTGTTTGTATTTGTATTCCTGTGCATTTTCACTATAACTTTAATACCTTTGGTCCCGTTCACCTGAGGTGCCTCCCTCAACAGTTAATAAAGTGTGAGACAAACCTTGAAAATCCTCTGTCACCCCCTTTACTGAAAGAGATAAAAACAAAAATCTTTTAGTGTGTTAACAGAGTATAATTTCCATGTTTAAATAAATGCATTAAGACTTAAGTGCGGTGAGTTAAAGAACATTTCACATAGACACTGTTCAGACCGACGGCAACACTGTCCAACAAACCCCCTGAATTGTTATGGTAAAGCTCTCATGGAGACTACGGCAAAAGATTGCAGGGTAATCTGGCAAAAAGTTGATCCTGACTCAACTTTTGTTGCAGTGCAGTCCAATCACACATGCAAACACATGTCCACTTAGGATCATACCTAGTGGCCAATAATGTGCTGATACTACTGTTTAACCTGCAAGCATCAAATCAAGAGATAAATGAGCCTTCAATGAGAGCACCTGGTTTGTATTTCATCTTTTTCAATAGGTAACTGCACCAACATAGATCCTTGCATCTTTGTTTTGAAGCAGTGCTATCAAGTCTGAACGCAGTCTTAAGCATTACGCAGGATTTATACTTACGCTGCACCTACAGCGTAGGTTCTGCATCGACAGAGCCTATGCCATACTATATCCCGTAGCCTGACATGCACCTCCCCAGAAATGTAACTACACGTCGTGGCAATGCAGACCTTCTGTGTAATTTGTGTCAGCTGAAACCATTTCCCTCAGTGGAGACAAAGCTTTTATTTACTTTAACTTCACAGATAAGAAATCAAAAATTGTGAAGACAATAAAGCCTCCACATAAATAGCATATTAAGTCCCGTGTGTGATTTATTCTGGCTTCATATGAGCAGAGGAAATCGCCCTTTGTTGCTACGCTAATTTAGACGACGTAAAATATTTTTTCATGTTTATTATTTATTTATTTCAATGTAAAACGTCATAGGCTTGTGCTAATAACATTAGCATGTTGTATTTTTTTTTTGGAAAACTTGTTTAGTGTAAGACAGTTCCTTTGTCAGTGAACCTTGTGAGTTGTAATAGAGCCGAATTTTGTAACATTACTATTGTTAAATGTTGCTGTTGTCCCTGGCTTCATATGAGCGGAGGAAAAGTCCTCTAGCCACTAGGCTAATCTATACAATGTAAAATGCCATAGGCTTGTGCTAATAACATTAGCGTGCTGTATTTGTGGGGAAAATGTGTCCAGCAAAAGACAAGTGCTTTGTCTGTGAATGCCGCGAGTTGTAGTAAAGCTGATTTGTATACTTGTGTTTGAAAGTGTTGTTATGAAGCCATGTTTAATGTGTGTTTCTGGGTGCGTTTTGAATCAACTATAAACTTTACAGCACTTGACATAAACCCCGGCGCTTAGTGTTTGAGTGACACAGACACACCACTGCACACATATACATGCTCACGCATCGCAGACTCTGCGTAGAGCTGACGCACAAGTATAACTCCCACTTTAGTAGTTATAATCTGAATTCCTCAGAATATATTTAGCTTAATTGAAAAACAATGTACATACTGACGTACCTTAAATCATCCGAGGACAGGTTATCAAAGAAGGACTTGGACTTGTCATAGTAAGTGTTTATCACAGTCTCCTCCTCCTCATTGGTCCCTTCATTGGCTGGATGTTCTGATTCAGCAGCTTCTTCTCCATTAAGCGCCTTTTCAGGTTTGTCATCTGTGGTCATGTTGGAAGAAATTTTGTAAAACATTGAACACTGTTAAAACACCATCATCTGGGCTGGAAAAGACCTTAAAGTGATGATGGGATTTGTAAAGCAGTATGGCTACAGGCATCTAGACTGAAGATGCCAAAACTCTAGTATATTACTGTGTATCTCAGCACTGTATCCCAAACGTTTTACTTCTACCACAGATTTACTTCTGGTTGCTAAAATGTTTTCTTGGGTTTTGCTGGCAAAAACGGTGATATGATGAACAAAATTCAAACTGTCTTGCTCTTTCGATATACCAATAACTGCACCTGTAACACATGTACTGTCTCAACCAGTGCATCTGTGTTTTACACCATGAGGCCAGTGGAACTTATGATAAATTTTCTGCCCTTGTTTTTCAACTTAAAGCTGGTGTCACTGTCTTATCATGAGAAAATGTCAGGCTGAGCAAATGTACATGATGCAGACAGGCATTTTTCCCTTTAACGTTCTGGCAGGTTTCCTGTGGTTGAAGTGTGTTGAAGCCGTACCTTTCAGTTTCAGCTTGTTCTGGAGCTCTTTGTCAATCTCATCTTTGTTGAACTGGGCATTGGCAGTCTCAAAGTCAAAGTCTTCTTCAAACTTCATGGCGCCATCTCTACGCACATTCACTTTGCCTCTGCTGCGGTTTCCTCTTCCACGGCCACGGCGGGTGGGCTGAGCAGCAGCTGAGAAACAACAGGGGGAAAATGAAATCCAACAATGCCATTTTATTTAACCTCAATGTTTCATCACATTCAATCCAACGTGTTAGACCACAGAGACAGAAAAGTGAAAAAACATATCACTGTCCAAATACATTTTGATTGCACTGTAGATACCTGAGGTTAAAACAACTACTAATAATACAAATAATGAAAGCAAATATTTTAGTACATGTAATTAAATGTGTTACTGGGTATGATTAATTAAAGGTGCAGAGCTACTTACCAGCTTGACGCTTGTTGGGATCGCGATTTTCAAGAGCACCATGTTCAATATCTGGCTGCGAGACCTTCTGGACCTCAGGAGCTGATCAGCAACAAACACAATTCACCATAGATTTAGCAAACTTTTACCTTTGTAGAAATTAACCATTACAAGTCTAGCAGGTATTCTCACCTTTTCTCTGCTCCAGGAGGTCTGGGGGCTTCTGGCTGCCAGCGGCAGTGCTGGTGGGTCTGGGAGCTGCCACCGCCGTCTGACTCCTCTGTCCTACAGGCGCAGGTGGTGCTGGGGCAGCTGATGGTGGGGTCTGCACTGTCTGCTCCAGGGGGGGACTTTTTGTTAAAGAGTCCAGCTGGGGACTGGTGCGCCCTGCAGACAACAACAAAGTGAAATTATGAAATTATATCATTTTCCTAAAAGCCTGGGCAGCGTAGTTTGTCTTGCAGCACCCAACAGGAGCGTGGACAGTTTGGGGGATACACCTGACATTGACTGATACAATATGACATACAATATGGTGAATGCGGCAAAACACCTGGTATTAACTGTAACTCTGACCACACAGGTTCTTCCATTATATTGTCAATGGACGACACTGACACTTAATATTTAATAAATGCAATTTTGGCTCAACGTATTTGCAAAGCAATGTCACAGTATGTCAAAAAAGACAGAAATGGAATTTACATATTTAGTAAGACAATCCATGGCATATGCAGCTGTAAATGTCTCCTCCTTTAAGCACCTTAAAATTTCCAAGATTCAGCAGAACAGTTAATCAGAAATGTGTTGTTTAATCATCTTCACTAATCCCACTTAAGCACACAAGAGATCAAGTGAACAGCAGGATACTAAAAAATGACATGCAGCTGCATTCTATATGCAAATCAGCGGGAGTCGGGTGTTGCTCCAAATATATCTAAGAATCAGATGCTTTGCTTACAGGGCTTGTTTGAAAATTTCTCAATTGATTGAATACTCATTAGATAGTGTTGAAGTAGAAAAGTACAAAAATTGACTTGTCTGCACAGTTATTTGAAACAGGCAATAATCCCCCTTAACAATTTGTTGCCTTTAATTATGTCACAAAAAAATAAAATAAAATAAAATCATATAATCATGTAGAGAGAGGAAACATTTTCACAGCTCTCCATTATAGCGCATCCTGTGAATCCACAAAGTTAGTGTAGTTAGACATTTATTTCCAACAAGAACGACTCCATACCTCCCGCTCCAGCAGATCCAAACTGCTGAGCTGCAAGGGGTGTAACACCAAACTGGCTGTATGGTGGGACAGAGGTCCTGCTGAGTGGAGCATAGCAACTAGCCGACGGGAATGATGGTGCTGCTGCAGCATTGCTGGATCCAAGTGATGACTAGGAAAAAAAAAAACACATAAAATCATGCAAATGAAAAACCATAACAACCCCTGTCAAAAACCACACTATCACACATATTCAAATGTGGTTCATGTAGGATAATTAACATTTATTATCCATTCATGTCATACAACTGAAACAGATAAAGTCATCATCCTCAAGACATCAACGTGTAGTCCTAAAATATAACTGTAATAATAATAAACCTAATGGGAAAAAAAAAAACTTGAAAGACATGACATGAAAGACATTTTGATTGACACCATGAAATCAGAAATGATAGACAAAAGGTATCAGCTGTAAATGGAAGGTTTTGAATTTAAAACATTTTGACACATGGAGATTGAGGTGTTTATTATTGTTATGTTATCATTTGACCACCTTATGGTACTACTTTGGTCTCAGTAGAAGACCAACTTCTCTGTTCAAGGCAAGTGTTCAAGTACTCAGTGTCTGCAAACTTTTTATTTATTTATTTATTATCTATTTAACAATTGTTTGGACCAATAGAATTTAGACTCTGTTGTGGAACTATGTTTTTGTTCAAACTGATGTGTGCAAAGTGAAATTTATATTTACTTTACATGCAGTTTAAGAGCTAAACTGTGACTGGCTATGGTCCAAACGTATTTCTTGTATTGCTTTAATTTTTTATGTACTAATTGTTTCATCATTACATGAAAAGCACAAGTGTATATAATAACATTAATTAATGATAGGTGAATTTTATTTAGGTGAGCCAGTTTCAAAGCCTTGTCTCTAACACGCTGGTTTACTAGTAGACTTTAAGGAGATGAAGCCATAATTGACATCATTAGATACACCTGTGCCTTTCCTGCTCTGACAACTCAAATGTATGCCATTTAAAAAGGTCTCCTTAAGCTTGAGCAGGTGATAATTTAACAATAGTATTTTGACAACATTCTCAAATTGAAATAACATGGATTAGGGTCAAATTTTATGAAAATCAGTAACAGTGTGAGATCTTAACTATGTGACAGCATGTTTTTTGAACAGCAGCCATCTTTCTAACAAAAAAATTACATCTTAGTAATAATAATAATTTACCCATATTGCCCATCTGCATGTTTCTGCACAACTTTTAAAGTTTGATCAATAACACTGAACCTATTTGGGGAAGTTCATGGGCATGGCAAACTGAAAGAACACCCCTTTTACACAGCAGACAATTTGAGTTGTCATCACAGGTGGTACTAATAACTGTAAGTGACGAGCCTCTTTTAACCAAGCGTCCCAGTAAGCCATGACAGAATGACAGTGAGCCAGCATGCACAGTGTATTAACCCCAGAGAAGTTATGTGAAAAATATTTAAGCCTTCCTATGACTTATACAGAAAATATACAGAAAACGTGACAAACTGCTATACATACAGCCATTTTAGTGTACAAGAATGCATATATATAAACTTACTTGAACAATAGCAGGGTCCTGAGGCAGGGAGCTGGCAGCCTTGGGTGGCTCACAAACTGTAAGGTCTTTTATATCACTTCCTCTGAAGATGATGTACTCAAACACTTCTTCCCGAGGTGGAACAGGCCTGTCAGTGGGCCGGTCCTCAGTGCCGAAAGAGCGAACTGTTGGAGAAAATCACAGGATAATTCAAAAGACTCTCCTCTATTAACATATTTACTGAGGCTTGGTAGATATGCTTCCTGTGTAGATCCTTGCACTGGGCAATACTGCCACTTTTAAAGCATATTGTCTAAGTGTACCATTCAGAACTACAAATAAAGATGCACAATTTTATTGTTGAATTATATGATAGGAAGTCACTTAAGTGTTCATAACTTTACTTAGACAAACACTTTACTTACACAGACACACAAAAGGAACTGTGAGTGAGCCAGAGGTAACTTAGAAGTTAACGATGGATTTTTTTCCCCCTCCATTTGGTTTCAATGGCCAAATGGGTACCCAATAATAAAAAGTAACCAAATAATCACACCAAGTGGCTTTTAAAGAATCAACTATTGCTTTAATCAACTATATGACTGGTATTTTTTTTTTTTTTTTTTTTAAGTCTGTAGGGTTTCTATACGCTTCACATAATAAGTTACCGTCTGTGTAGGAAAGTGTGGGATCTTTATCTAAATTCACTTCACAGACGTTCAGGATAAAGACGTAATATACAATTTAGATGCTAACTTGTAAATAAAACTTTACCGAGGGATATTTGATAGTAACAAGGGATTAACTTTCGATACGGTATGCTATTTAGGACTCAACAAGAAGGGCTGTATATTTAACGTAAGCCCAAACAAGGTAAACAAAGGACGCAGAGTGTTAACTACAGCACCACTTAGCTATTAGTTGGCTACTAAGCTAGCTAACACAGCTAACTGCGCTGAAATTAATTACCGCTTTCCATCGCTAAACACCTTTGTAAGCTATATTATAACAATTTTGAACTCTGTAGCTTACCTCTTGGTTACTTAACTTACCTTTAGCAAGAGCTACTGTCGAGTTTTCAGTATCAATTGTGTACAAAATTCCTTCATAGCGAATCTCGGCCTTGGAGATTAGGCTAATTTTGCTGCCAATATACGGCGTCCCTCCTCCGCTCATGTTTGTCCTCTTTTTATGATAACGCACTTATTTCCGCGGAATCGGTTTCTGTCAAACGAGAGATCAAGTGTGTTTCTTTCAGAGCTGTAGTTTCAAAACTACATTACATTAGTTGGTAAGTTACGCCGTGAATAAGCTTCGCTCGTCTCAGGAGTGATTTCTACCACGACATGGCCGTTTTCATTTTCCTTCGCCTGCCGCTGAGGATGTTGGGAGAAAGGCTGCGCCTCATTTCTCTGAAGTTACATCCTTTTCCTCCCAATTCTCCGCTTTACAGTAGCAATATAATCAAAACATGTTGCGCTCGGTAAAAGCAAGACCGCACGTGTAGTTTATTTCACTTTTATGATTAATTTTTCGATGACAAAAAATAGTCAATTAATTTTTAATCATAGGGTGCTTAACGGAGGTTTAAGATTCGGCCGTTCTAGCATATCGCGAGATTACACGAGACCGCCTCTCTCCACCCTGCCCCCATATTGCCAGATAATAATACATTTTTAAATGTAGAATATGTATTTTTACCGCACAATTTGCTTTTGACATTAAATTGCACGGTTTTCATTTTAAACCTTGAATCTTATTCATCTCGAAAATATATCATGAATGCCTAATTGCCTACTTGGCGATCGTTACGTAACACAACGGTACTTTTAAAGATTTAGAATGGCTAAATTTTGATTTATGAATATGATACTTTGCTAGAATGAACATCGTTTTTATATATGTAATCCCTTCAGTTTTGTATTAGTGTTATTGAAGATACCAAACAGTACATTTTCCCTTTAAAGAGAAAATTCAAAGTCGATGCTATGAACAATATAATGGGATACATCTTTCCAAAACTGCTAAGTGGAGGGACATTGCCAAAACAGATGCAACATTGCTTCTGGATACATTTCACAAAATGAACAGATAACACAAATATCCTTCTTTAATCTAAGAAGATAATGGCATGCAGGCTAATATGTGTGATTTTGAAGTAGTACTCTTCCCTTACTGTGTTGGTAAGGAGATATTTGTATGAAAGATTCCAAATATTTTTCCAGTTTAAGTTATCAACATATCTAGAAGAATATGGTACAAAAGCAGAAATACTAACAACATCTTTTTGAAATGATGAACATATGTTACTGTTATTATCCCATTACATAAGGTAGAAGTCAGGCAGACTTCACCCACTGAAGTTGCCCTCGGGTTATGTTTTGGTTAACAAAACTGGTCTTTCTGCCTCTCCTAGGATAATCAGAATTCCAGAAGGAATAGCATCCATAACAGTGGCAATCCCCTTTGGGATAACAGGAATGCCAAAAGTATTGAGGAATTCAGAGAAGCTCAAACGGTCCATTAAAGGTAATTAATTGGTTTCCTGGAATTACATTATTGTTAAACAGTTTTTATTAAAAAGGATAAGGATTTATATTTGAACATACTGTGCATATTATTCCAGATAAAACATATTTGGGAGGAGAAATACGAAAAATATACAACTAGGATGCGGGATGCCCCCCCACCCCTCCTCTAATGACGTCAGATTCATTCCCACAATGCCTAGTAACACGCAGGCGCACTGTGAAAAAAAAAATATAAGACAGCTATCTGTGATCAGAGATGGCGGGCGCCTCCGACCCCCTGGAAGATATGCTCTTTTCAGAGGTGGATGAAAAAGCTGTGAGCGACCTAGTGGGCTCATTGGAGTCACAGCTTGCTGGCCAAAGCAACACAGCAGGTAAAGCAGACGAAAACGGAGGCGCTGGCTCAGTGCCCCCCGCTAACCATCACTTAGGAAAAACGCTACCAGCTCCAGTGGGCACCACAACACTAGAACAACAACAACAAGGACGGCGTAATAAACCTGAGATGCGCCAGGAGATCAACTCTAAAGACGTTAGCCTGGATAAAACTGTCACATCTCCGTCTCTGGGCTGTACCCCTGCTTTTGGCGAGCCCTCCACCACTTCGGCAGCCTGTGTGAACACCACTAGCAGCGGCTCGCTATCACATGGAGCATCCATCACAACACTGACTGCATCTGGTGTGTCAACTTTGGCATCTACGCCAGCCAGCATCGGCACCACATCCAGCCGGGGGTCTAAGGTTTGCCCGGGCACAGGTGAGACGTCGACGGAAGCTAACCCACCGAGGAAACGCATAAGCACCCCACGGAGGAGCGCTTCGGCTCGGATAAAGAGTTTGAACGGCGCAGCTGTAACGACGAGAAGGAACAGCAACACAGCGGTGGCTGAAAACGTTAGCTCTGTGGATACCAGTGCAGCCACACCGAACTCTACTCGACCGGTGACCTCCTCTATTAACACTTCGACTTTCACCCTATCAAACGCTAACCTCCCTTTAGGTCAGTCGGCTATTGCTCTCGACCGGGGGACTCCTACCATTGCTTTGCATAGACTCCCGAGTCATATTGTAGCGAGTATAGCCCAGAACGGCAACGGGACCAGTGTGTCGGCCTTGGTCCAGCAGGGCGCTCGCATAGGACCCATCACCTCCTCAGCTCCACAGGGAAACCACAGCAAAACGGTCACAGAAACTGGGGCTTCCAAAACAGACGATTGTCAGTCCAAAATTGTAATGTCAAGCCAGTCTGGTAGTGTCAACTCTGTAATAAACACTGTTTCCTCTGCGCCTTCTGTTGTCACACCACCACCAACAACTACTACAGCAGCAGCTACAACCACCACAACAGTAACCCAGCCTATGAGCTCTGCAACAGCTGCTGCCTGTGTTACAGGGGTGGCAGCAAGTTCAGTATGTGCTACTGGTCAAACTACATCAGTGACCACCACTATTAGCATGGTCAGGCCCACAGCCCCCTCTCCAACTCCTGCTGTGGCCACCTCCGCACAGACTCAACCCCGTCCTGGACTTACAGCACCTCAAAGGATTGTAGCCCCCCAGCTGATTGTCAGACCACCTCAGCAGCAGACGACCATTCAGCTGCCCCCTGGGTTTACCATCCCACCGGGTAAGGTTTGCAGGATGGGGAGGAGAGCAGCAAGAAGATGCTGTTCACACCTGTGTTAAAATACCTGCGTCTCATGGGTTTGGTTGTCAGTGTGATAGAGTGTTTGTGTCACTGTCCTCGGTATGAGGATCCACGTGCATGTGTGGCATCCTCTTGTTGTCCCATGTTTGTCTGTTTGTGTTGGGGAAGCTTTTCAGTTGTCCTGTGTTTGTGTGTGCTATGGGACAGTGCCCGTTCCTAAGGTAAAACCTGCCTTTTCATATATGCTTTTATTCATAGTAGCTGTACTGTGAGTTTTAGCATGGGTGGCCCCATGGGGAATCAAACACTTCACCCAGCCGTGATGTGACAGCTGAGCTGTGCAAAGTACTACATTTACACCAAGCATCCTTAACAGCCCACAACAAATATCACAATTGTGAAATAAACAACAGCGAATAAGACAAAAACTTTGCAAGTTTGCAGTCAAACTGTCAAATGAAATGTATCTGTACATTTTACTAATTTAGGTGATGCGTCTCCACAAGAAAGCAAGCCTGTAAACTCTGTCACGTTTATAGCCTAAGGCAAATAACTTGATGAGCTCACTGTCAGGAAAAGACAGGACTCTTTCCAATGAAATCATATAGAAATCTCACCACCAATGTAGTCACACATGATGTACTGTAAAAATGGTAACAACTCTCATGACTGTCACCAACATTTCAAAGACTTATTTTTCCTAATAGCACTTCCAAGAATAGTAATAAAAAAGAGCTCCTCTGCCACGTGAAAAAAAATCAGATGATTCAAGACAACAGTGTGGTAGAATTACTTTCTATAAAGTGGCTTATGCTTGTAAAACAATGACCCTCCCTTTCAGTGGATTTTACTTTTTGATTATTACTGCTGCCTGAGAAAATGCAGCTCAATAAGTGGAGACCTGTTGCCCTCAATTTTTGTGTTGTTTCAATCGAAGTAAAGTTGGGGATGCACAGGGAAATGTTTTGGGCAACTCAGATGGAGAAGTGGCGCTCTGTGTTTTTTAAATCACTCTGGAGTGTCTTGTTTTGAAACATGAATATAATTTTTGTAAGTGTAAATCACTTTATTTTCTGATACTGGGAGAATTACTGATCTAAATTGTTCCAAGATTATCAAGTGTATCAAAAGTCCTATGTAAAAAATTCAATTAACATACATACAACAACATATATGGTTGCCAAAATAAACTGGCATAAGTGTATGTTTTCCACATTTGCCAGGTAGCCAGCCTTTATAAAGCTGCTCTTCTGTCATAGAGTAAGACTGGCAGGTAATATCTGTGGAGAGTGGTCATGTGGGAAAGTGTGCTCCCCAGCTGTTTTGTCTTGAATGATGCTCTGAGTCATCTCACCTCAGGAATAATGGCTCAGTCAGATAGCCGAGAGAGATATCAGAAAATGCGATCAACCTCTCGATTGACTTCATGTCTTTTTTTACTCTATGGAAATCCTGCAAAGATAAACACATGTGTAATAAAACATTTTATCTTGACCTGACATGGGCTACCTCACAAGCGTGACATTATGCTAACTGCAGTCGTAGCCTTTCAGAAAGAGCAAAGAGTCAGTGTAATTAGCTCATGATCAGAGCTTCAACTCAATTCCTAATCCTTTGACTTTCATGTGTGCCTTAGTCTGATTGCCAGCAGAATCTAGATCTTTCCTTGGAAGGTTGATATGAGGAAGCAGCATTGTAAGTAGTGTTGTAGTGCAATGAAATAAACACTAAAGCATGATGAATTGTCCTGATATATGAAAATAGCAGATGTTATTTCCTATGTCAGGATGCCTTACACTTAAACCATGTCCACTTACCACAGAAGAAGCTCAGCATTTTGTCTGCAGTCAGTTTAACCCATGGTTTGCCGTGTCTCAACCTTGGTAATGTTTGCTTTGTGCAGGTAGCACAAAGCCAAGTACTGTTGCAAAGGTTAAATGCAGTTTAAAATTCCTTATGCTACGTATTCCTCATTTGCTACACCTTTATTTCCATTATTTTCTCAGTCTTAAAGTTGTGTTGAAGTGCCTTTGCCACTTAGAAAACTCTTCCCATTTATCATTATGTAATAAGACTCTAATTGGCAGGTTAAATATTTCATTTACACTGACTGCCTGTGTAGAGTATTTCTTTTAATCACTGTTTAAGCTGCCAGAATTTTAGAATACAAACCTCCCTTTTAGGATGACACTTGCCAGTAGAATCCACAAATCTA